GTGCCATAGGGATTATTCCCTTAGTTAACAAAAGCGGCATTAACTTACTCACGGTGTTCATCATACGCATGTCTATGTGGACAATTAGAAGTAGAATACTGTAATGACCCGGTCATTTTCTTTCCTTTCATTTTTCTTAGATTTTTACGGATATTTTTTTTCCGTTGATCTTTTCCTTTCTGAGTTTATGTTCTCGTCACTTAGTGTTATCTCGGGTGCTTTGGAATGATTTCCGAGACTCTTTTCTTTGGATTGACAACTTTCTTTGAGAACCACGTCATTTCCACATTTTTATTTTTTTGACACTACTCACTTTTCATCCTTTTCCCTATTTTGTCTTTTCCCCGTTTGTCACTTTATTGGCATCACCTCACTTTTTGTATTTGGAGTTAGTTTTTGACTTAATGTATCTTCATTCTAAGTGATTTTCACAAAATACGTATCTTTACTTTTGTAGTAAAGTACTCTGGTTGTTCCCGGTGTCCATAGGGGCTTGGATGCATAGTTTGTCAGAATCTTTTTCTTTTCTTGGGGTATTTTTTGTAAATATCTTTTGAAGATATTTTATTTCAAGAGTTTTTAAGAAAATATTTTTGGAAGATATTTTCATTCTGGGTCATTAGTGTAGTTTTCACTTTTTGGAGGGGCCATTGTGTAATTAAGGAAAGTTATTAAAAAAAAATACCTCGTTTTGAGCCTGGATCCTTGTACGGGATTCATTTTCACTTTTTCGTTGAGTTGTGTACTCTTAGAATTGCCTTCTGGTCGTTTTCCCCCAGTTATAGGGTTTCTGGCCCTAGTTGCCGCCAAACTTGTTCGGGGTATATCTCCCTGCTCGGGACTCGATTTTTGACGCCATTTTTTCTGTTATTCATATTTTTTCATTTTGGTTCTTTTTCGTTCACGGAGTTTTGCCGTTTGAGCGCGTCTGCACAAATTCCACTTTTCCCTACCCGGCGGGGCCCTTTCGAGGCACTTTTAGGGTTTTTCTATAAATAGAATGCCTTAAATTGAAAAATCACTTTTTCACCTTCTTCCTCCCTCTCTTGGCAGGATTCCATGGCAGCCATGGGGCTGCCACCTTCTCTCTATTCTTTTGGACTTCCTCCACTTGTTAAAAAGTCGTAGTGCCTTTGTGTTTTATGCTTGTCTTGGCTACGCACATCTTTCTCCCTTATTAGAACCCATTTTTGGCCATTTTTTGAGTTCGGGTTTGAGGTTAAGTTAGGATTTTGGTAGGTCCTCTTTGGAGTTTTATGTTCACCGTGTTGTCCCCGACAAAACCCCGAAGTTTCGTCGGATTCGGAGCGGTTTCATTTTAGTGGCTTTTGAGATTTTCATCTCAAATTAAGGTAGGGGTGTTATAGGTTATTATTTTTGTTGTCTTACATGCTATTGATACTTATACAACTTGTATGCATGCTTTTGTTCAAAATTTAGAATTTAATTTAATTATTTTCTATGTTTAAGATTTGATTCTCATGATGATATTTAACTTAGAATTAAATTGTCATAGTAGTAAATTAGGCTTTGGTATGTTTGTTAATATATATTAAATTGGGATTGTTTGAATAAAGATTACATCTTTTATTTACTAATTTTCTTTTGTGAAAGTTTAATTATTATGGTCGTACCTTGCATGGAATTAACTTGTGATAGGCTATTAAATTAAGTCTTGGCATGCTCTTTAACATACTTTAATTTTGGAGCAATTGGATGAGTATGAAAATCTAGAGATTTTAATTAAAAGAATTAATTAAAATCGATTTAAGGGTTCCATTGGCTTAATTGAGTTTTAAACTTGATATTTGAAATGACTAGGACTTGTTTACTAGCATATATATTAATTTGGGACCATTTGACGTTGCTTTAGAAGTTAGAGATTTAATTATCATGATTTTATTAAATTCTACTTTGTTGTTCCATTGGCCTAATTAAGATTTTGAGTAGATGTATGTATGACCATGTAATGTTGTTTAACATGTGTTAATTATGAGTCATTTGATTGAGATTTGACACTTGGAGAAATTAATTAGTTTATTTAATTAATTTTCGTATCTATAGCGTTAATGATTGAATCATGTATTTAACATTGGTTATATGTTTAAATCATGATTTTAGACTTGTATTAGATTCATAAGTATATGTTTTTAGTATTGAATGATATTGCCATAGCGTTTAACTAATTGCACATTGAAGATTCGACATTTGTTATGCCATAGTAGTGTGGACTTAGAGCATATATTGTATGTGTTTCCAAATTCGGTTGTGCATGGTAGATAGTTGATTATTTTGTATATACATGTTGATATATACGTTGTTGCATAACTTGTTGATTTTAGAAACTTGGGGATGTCGTTGTTTGACTACGGCTAGGACAATGGTTCTAGTACGGGGGATTGTCCCTCTATAGTCTAGTGCGCACATAGGGAGGTTACCCATGGGCTAGTAACCCTAAAGTAACTATGGTGTCGGTCTAATCCGGCGTGATATCCAAATATCCACCTTGTTTGATTTCACTTTTCATTTCAAGTTGATAACTAGATGATATCGTAACTTGTTGTTCCTTAATTGATTTCCCATTTTGAGTTTCAAGATGTTAACTTTGAGAAATCATGCTTTATGCGTTGTAGTGGAAGTTCCAATGTTGGTTAAATTGCATCGATATTGTGATTTATGTTTTGATGTTCAAATGTAGCTTAGGAACGATCCTATAAATTCATTTAGAACATAGACGTTAGGTGGCATGATCCACTTTAGTTGTTTTTGTGTTTTAGATTTCAAGTTGATGACTTTGAGAATCTATATCTTGTTACTTTGTATAACATGCTTCCATGTTGTTAAATTGCATGAATGATGTGATTTATGTTAGAGATGATCTAAGGTAGCTTAGGATACTCCCCGAGTTTCATCTTGACATAGACGTTAGGTGGCATGAGCTCACTTGTTTCACCTTAAGGTGATAATTTTGTAAAATGCTAGGCCAATGCATGCTCATTTCCTACGAGTAGCTTTATATTACTTACCTCGAAGTTACTGGGGATTTGTTCAGGTATAAAGACTTAGTTCGTGATGTTCATCATACTTTGGATGACTTGTAGCTTTTAGGTTTCCATTTCATGTAAATGTTAGCATGAAATGTCATTTTGTAGCCTTATATGTCTAAACTTGTATATTTGATTCCATATATGTAATGTATACATAAGTGCACCTTTTACGATGTATTTGACTTGTGTGAGATGAGGCCAGAGGCCAATGACATTTATATTACATCTTATGTAATTCTTGATTTCATGAAAGGTTATGAAAATATTGAAAAATGACCAGTCACTGCTTCACCATATTTGCATCGGGTGTGGGAATTTCATTTTTATTCTTTCATAGGGTCTCATTAATCATGTTTGAAGTGTGGCCAAGGGTCAAACGATAATTTGAAATCATTTGTTAATTCTAGTTTTCAAATTTCCTATTTCTTGTTCATTTTTATCATTTTTGGCCGTCGGGGGATTGGATTTTGAGTCGGGGATTCTCGGGAGCCGCGGGCCATTCCCGCGCGCTTAGAATCATTTATTACACTTACGTGCACATTCGTTTCAACCTAAAAATGCATTTAGGGTCAAATGCATACTTAGTGCAAAGTTGCATTTTTTGAGTTTTTAAGCCCTTACTGATCTAGAGCCATTTTGGCCATTTCACAGTATGTTTTTTTCATTTTCTCCCACGCAGCCAGTTAGAAAATTTGATTTTGGGAGGGGTTTCTTCTTCATGTTTTTCTAGAAAAATTCGTTTGATAGCCCATTTTTTTATCTTAGATATGGACAGTCACTGTAGCATCTTTTGGGCCCTCTTCACCTCTTCTGATCTAGGGGCATTTTGGGTATTTTACATTATATTTTTTTTTTGTTTTCTTTCACATAGTGGGGTAGAAAACTCGATTTCGGGAAGGGTTTCTTCTTTGTGTTTTTCCAAAAAAAGTCGTTTAGGACCTCGTTTCGGCTCTCAGTTCTGGCTAAGCCCTTTTTTTTTTTCTTTTTTTTTTTTTTTTTCTCTCTCTCTCTCTCTCTCTCCTAGCATGTCAGGATGCTCGTGGGGTGCTCGTCTCAACACCATGACGTCGATTCTTATTTTCACTCGTTCTCCTTCGTCTGGACTCCAAATCGAGTGAACTTTTTTTTGAACTTGAATAATTTTTCGCTGTCTTTCCAACGATGTGTTTGATTGCACCCAGATCTTTTTGAAAAATTACCAATTTACCTTTTTAGCCTTAAGTGCTCGTTTTTCTTTGTCATGCCGTTTCTCCTTCGTCCGAACTCTGAATCATGTGATTCTTGAGTCCATTTTGATTAGTTTTTCATTATCTTTCCAGCGGTGTGCTCGGTGGTACCTGAATTTATATTTTTAGAAAATTACCATTTTACCCCTGGGGGCTTATTTGTTATATTTTTGATCTTTTGTTTTCACATCAGTTCTCATTGAGTTCCACGACCTCATGGAAGGTCACTTTGACTTCTTAAAGTCTTGTTTTCTATTTTTGCTTCCGCATTTGGATCCGTTATCGGGTCAATCTTCGGTTCATCACAGGACGCATTGGCTTGAAAAACCAGGGCCATCACAAATACAAAACACTAGAACAAGTCATGCATGATTCATTGGAAGGCTGATAAGCATGATTAGCATGATTAGGAGACGAAGACACTTGATGAGCCGAGTTTTGGTTGATAAAAAATTGATTAAACCTTTGGGATAAAGACTTAACTTCGGTGACTATATCATTAGAATTATTAACTTGATATAAGCCTAAATTCTTCCTTCCACCTACATTTCTACCATTATTAGATGATAAAGATTGGTGCATTGAGTTTTCACTCATGCTCTCATATAAGCACCATACATCAACTTCATGCTTATCAAGATAAGAACCACCCATAGAAGCATCAACCATACCTTTATGGTTGTCCGATAAACTTTTAAAGAAGTATTGAACTAATTGCCATTTAGGGATGTCATGGTGTGGACATTTCCTAAACAAATCATTTAATCGTTCCCATACCTCATGAAACATTTCCCCATCCCTTAGTGAGAATTCATGAATTTCAGTTCTCATTGCATTGGTCTTAGACACTGGATAGTACTTTTTCAAGAACTCTTGTTGCATCTCTACCCAAGTAGTTATAGAAAAAGGTGAAAGGGAAGAGTTTTAACCTCAAAACTTCTTTCGGCATGTCCATGTATTTCACGGTAGAACACAGTTCAAGAAATTCATCCAAATGCTTATAAGGTTCTTCATTGGGTAGCCCATGATAATTAGGAAGCATTTAAATTGTTTGTGGTTTAATCTTATAATGGTGTGCTCTAAATGGAGGGAGTTGAATGCATATTGGTGCAATATACTCATTTGACACATAATGGTCTCTTAAAGCAAGAGGATGATTCACAACCGGTGGCTCTACATAAGCCTTATGATTTACTTGAACAACGGGAGGTGGAGATGGTGGTACAAAGAATGGCCTAGGCATTCCCATTGGAACTTGGCCTTATTGTTGTTGTGAAATGAAAGGTCTAGGCATGCCTAATGATACTTAAATATTATCATGTTGTTAATGCACATTAGGGTGAAGAATGCCTTGTTGGTCGATGTGACCAAGGTCTTCAACATGGTCCTCATTATGGACATCCATTATGAAATGGAGTCACTTGAATTACCCCTTCCCTTGGGATTACGAACAACCAAGATTAAAATTCAATAGGACAAAAGTAGGATTCAAAGACCTACGACCATGCATGCACAATGCAAATTAAAACAAACAACAACCCAACAACTAGCAAATAGCAAACATTTTTCCTCCGCAACAAGTCAATCAATAACAAACCTCCACATACATTAATCCCATACTCCCATGCTTTTAACAAATGCAAGAAATAAATTGCCTCCACTCGAAACGACGATATAACTAAGCAAATAAGAATTTTCTCAACGCGGGCCAATGATTTGACTAAGTAAAAAGAGTTAGGAAAGCTCACAAAAGGTTTTTTAGCAACTTTAAAATATTTTTAGCTTTTAGCCTTGCTTTGCAAATTTTTTTATTTTTATTTTTATGCTTTTTATGTTTTGCTTAGCTTAGCTTGCATTTTTGCTTTGAAGATCCTTTGCTTTTCTTCCTTAGCTCCAAGTACATAGTTAATCAAGAACAAACACAATAAGTAAACAAAATAAAATAAAGTAAAGACAAGATCAAAGGAGTACTAATTCCTAATTAATTCCGAATACGGCGTTGCTCAATCCCCAGCAACGGCGCCAAAACTTGGTGTGTTTAACCTCGGTGTGTGATAAAAATGTGGCCAAATTTAAATTTGTAAAATGCCACTACCATTACTAACTACTAAAGTAGCAAGAGTGAGTAGGGATCGTCCCAAAGGAAATAGAAAGGTATTCTGGAATTAATGTTGGATTAGTAGGTTGAATGATCAAAGAGGGTTTTGCTGGTTGAGTTATATTACAATGTAAAGTAAAGTAGTGCAATGTAAAACAAGTAAAATAAGTGAGATGTAGAGAATGAGAGATGGTTCTTGGGACATAGAGTTCACCACTAAGCATTGCTTTCCTAGACATTCAACATTTGATAAATTAGAGGGATTATTTGTTGTAAACAAAGTGTGTGCAATTAATTGGAATATTAAACTTGGATGGCCAAGTAAGCATACATTGTCTAATCAATCTAGTGAATAACACAACATATCAAATTAAGCCATTAATTATTTCATAAGCCCACAATCAATGCACACTCAAGAATCTAAAGAAATATACTACTTGTACTCATAAGCATGGATCATCAAACAACAAGAATGAAATGTCCACCTATCTAGGAAATTAAGGTAATTAAACTACAACTATTCTAATGATATAAAATTAAACTAATTAAACTAAGGAGGTGGCATAATCCATTAAGAAATAAGTATGAACCATCAAATAAATCACAAGAGTAAACCATTAAACACCATGCCTTGACCTATACTAGACTCAACAATTTAACACACATAGACATGCATCAAATGTAAAAAATCAAGTGTAAAACACATGACCATTCATTCTAACATACATAGACATATGAATAGAATTAAAAGATCAATTGTAAGTATTAAACTACAGAAATCATGTAGAAACAAGATTTATATATATAAGAGGTCAAAACAAGAGTTACAACACAAATCCCCATTAATTACAATCATCAAAGTCTAAGAAGCATGCTTAGGGATATCTCTAACCCCAAGAGAATAGTTTAGCCACTCATGATTGGTGTCATCCAACCCTCAAGGGCTTTCTCCATGGTTGAATTCATCCTCCTCCTTTGGTGTTCTTGGTGGAAACCCTAGAAGAATGGAAGAACTTTCCCAAAATGTATTTTCTCTCTCTAATCTCTAGCCAATTCTCTCTCTAACTAACCAACCTCCTTACTAAAAATAGCCAAATTCCTTATATAGGCAGCTCAAATGTCATACCCAATGGTCAGACCTCATGCACTAGGACCTCCAAATGATTGCACCACGAGCACACCTTCAATTCATCTTGAAATCTGTTTTACGTGCATTTTGAGGTAATTCGATCATCACATGGTTGCTCTGATCGATCGAAGTAAGGCGGTGCATTTATTTGGATAAGGACAAAGGCTGAGATATTTATGGGAAAAGGACAAAAGTGGTTGATGAGGATAAGATCAAAAGGTTCGATCGAACGAATGAAAGTTGGATCGATCGAATAGGAATTTTTTTTCTGAGGATAAGGACAAGGGGTTCGATCCATCATGACATAGTTGGAACAATCGCAATGCGATCGATCATAGCTTCGTTCGATTGATCGGAGATGACTTTTTCACCACTTTGCTTCCACTTTGCTCCTTTCTTCCACTTAACTTTAGATTGCTTCTCCAATGCTTTAATTCAGCTGATTTGACATGTTATACTTAATTAAATAAATACTTGAGAAAATAAATAAATACTTGAGAAAATAAATAAATAAATACTTAATTTATTTATAATTAAATATTAAATTAAGTTATCAAATAATACCTTATTAAACATAGTATATTTTTTACTGTTTTAAGTATGTTTTAGGAGTAAGATGATTGGAAACTATCATGTGTCATTTATCTTTTTTATTTGTTTATTTTTGGAATCTTACTTTAATCATGTGAGTCTATTTGTCATTCTTAACATATTTTTTATTGGTACAAAGATTATTAGGTCGGAGCACACTTTAACATTTGATAGATGATAACAACAATACCATTTGACATATGATACCTTTGAAACAAAAATATAGAAAATTAAAAGAAACATAAGAACATTTGAAATATGATTATTTCAAGGCATCTTTCCAGGCATATTAAAAATAAGGGAAGAAGTAATTTATTTGTTTAGAATATATGGGGATATTGGATAACTGATACGTCGAATCAATTACATGTCCCGATATTTCTAATACTTTTGAATGTACTGGAGAATCGGATTGCAAAAACAAAGAATTAGAAACAATTCTTGTTTGAAGCTTTAAGATCTTCCTACCAAAATGCAGAACATAAATAGCACATTCAAACCAAGTCCATCCAATTTGTAAAATGTTGTAATGCGTGGGGCAATTTCAAAACTTAATGAGTATAAATGTAAAAAAGTATAAATTTAGAGGTATAAAATGTAATAACAAAAAATTTTAGATCCGTCCCAGAACTTGTAGCCTCAAACATTTGCTTTTGAAATGCTGCAACAAAGGAGATATGGCCGTTTTAGTGACAGTTGGTTTATGAAACACCATCGAATCTTTACCTCCAAAGCATCTATGGTATCAAGAAATTATAGAAATGAGCTTTAAAAGAGTGTAAGAAATCCTTAAAATTCTAAAGAATATATTTTTAGATAGAGGCTAGAATTGAATTATATGTCCTTTAAGACAATATTTGCTCCACTTGATGTTGAACGAGTGAATCAATAACCTGAACCCTCATGTCTTATCTGAACCAATAGATTAACTACTCATGCACTCGTTCGAGTTTTATAAGATTTGAATCAAGCCTTGGCAAAATAACTCACTTCTACCAATAATCAAATGAGCTACTTTGAATTCAATTTTGGGTAAAGTGCCAAAAAAAAAAAAAAAAAAAAAAAGCTCCTATTTTATACAAAATGTGCAAATCCCCTTTGGTATTCAAAAGTATTCAAAAAGCACTCCTATATTTGTCAAATTGTGCAAATAAGTACATTCCTTCACTTTAAAGAATAAAAAATCTAAATTACCCTTACCAAAAAATAAAAAAATAAAAAATAATAAAATCTAAAGAAGCAAAATGTCTAAAAAGGACATTTTGCTAAAAACGACATCTTGTAGGCATTACGGCAATGGATTGATATTGGTGTGATCCCATCCACCCTCCCTCTTTGATCAGTCCTTCCTCTCTCTCTTCAATTTCTCTCTTCCAACTCATTCATGAAGGATGGTCTGTTTATATATATATCTATATATATATATAGTAATATATATGTATATAGGGGTAAGTGCAAATAACACCCTTGTATTTTTTAAAATATGCAAATAACATCCTTGTTGTTAAAATTTGACCCCTCTAGTTTCAAAAAGTTACAAATAAGGGCTTCTGACCAAGAAAATTGGCATGTGTCATGCATGTGACCAAAAGTCAGCCTTTAATACCAAAACTATCCTTTTGCGCTACCCAAAATGCCCACAGGGGTTTTTTTGCACACTTTTAAAAATACAGGGGGGTTTTTTAGAAACATAAAAATAATTTTTAAATTTTGTTATTCTCTCCTCTCTAAATAATTAATTTCTAAATATATAATATATATAATAACCAAACTACCCTTTACTCATTTTCTCTCTCATTTCTATATATAATATATATAATAACCTTATTTAATTAATTTTATTTCTATAAATACTCTATATAAAATACACATATTATATATATATATATATATATATATATATATATATATATTATTCATTATATTCATATTTCTCTCTCCTATTAATATTATATCCCTCATTTCTATATATAATAGTCATATATATATATATATATTTCTTTCTCTATATATTTT